ACTCTTTATGAACATATGGGGGGAGAAGATAAGCTAACTAAAGCTAATTTAGAAAGAAACTAAATGCCAATGTAAGCACAAGAACAAATGGCTATGAACTGACTGTAAGCTGGTAGAAAAAAAAAATATATCATTTTTTGATGGCATTAGGTAAGTACATAAAACTTCTATCAGTTCCTCTGGTGATAAGGTGGAGTCCAGGAAGATCTTCATTTTATCATTTTCTGTCACTGACTGATGAACCATTTGCTCTCTCCCTCAGGAGTTTGTACTGGCAATGCATGCCCCAGTGAAGGGCCCTGCCTACTTGGTGGTACCTTTCCTGGTATGAATTATGTGCCAGCCTTGAGCAACTGCCAACAAAATGTACAAGAGCCTTGGCACATTTGTCTGTGGTTGGTCGCACCAGTTTCCAGAACACAGTGTCCTTCCCACTCTCTTTCGGAGAGCCCTGTCTCATGCTGCCCATTCTTAACTCCCTTTTTGCCCACTTTCCATGGTGAGGGGTTTGCCTCCAACCTCTTAAAATGCTTTTCGTGTCCTCCTTCCATTTCCTTCATTTCTTTTTTTTTTTTCCCCACAGTCCTCTCTTTCCCTCGGTAATTGTAAAGCCTGCACAAGGCTGTCTTTGAGATATTTCAAAGGGACATAACACTCTCTAAACAGAAGGTTTTCAAATGCCTTCATCTTTTCTGTCCATGGCCATACTAGCTGATGCACCTACACTTTGTCAAATCAGCGTGGTTGTTTTCTGGTTCTCCTATTAAGATTCTGAGAAAGCTGCGCTAATCTTATATACCTGTAGTGTAAGACATACCTGGGCAGATGTGTATGAATTGCTTGGAAAGTATTGCTCCTAACATTCAAGACTAAATTTCAAGATTTCACAGAGCCTTTTTAACGTGTGACTGTAGGGCTGGTTTTGTGGTTTCTTTTACATTACCATTGAAGAGAGGGAAGCCTGCGTACAGAGTCCTCTCCCTCCCCTCACTATCCTGGTCTCTAGCTCATCAGATCTGGGATTTGGTGAAAAAATGCTGGAGCTGCCTCCAGCAAATGCACCTGGCTTTCCTTCCCTTGGGACCAAGGGCATGAGGGAAGGAGGGAGTGAGGCTGTATGTCTGGGTCTTTTCTGACTTTCCCCACAGAGTGAGAAGTTTGAACATGCCTCAGACATAGACCTGGACTGGGGAGCTGGTCCCACAGCACAGCCTGGTGCTATTTAGGCTCTCACCTGTGAGTAGTATCAATTCATCTTATGGTAGTTTGTAAAGTTCATTTTAAGGGAGGAGCATCTTAAGCATGGAGAAAACATCTGTTTTGCCCAAAGCTGTAGTGGGTCTCGTGACTGACTTTAGAAAATCTTATCCCCAGACCCAGACATAAAGTCAGGTCAGCAATGAGCTCATCAACATAATTTTTGATATTGAGATTTTTCGCATATTTTTCCCTTTATATGACCAAGCATTTTGTTTCCTCGCTTTTCATTTATATGCATTGCATACGACAAGATAAAAACCTACTCATGCATTTCAGAAACAGAAGGGCCTACTAGGATCAGAGAGGCATATGATGAGATGCCCTGAGTTGCAGTGCTGTTTCTCATTACATCATGTAGATTAGCTAATGGGATGTTCAGCAGTGCAAGTGATGAAGGTTATGTATGAAAAGCAATGGATGACAAGCTGGTCCATCTCATGGTTACATCACTCTTGTCTAACTTTCTTTGCACATTCCTCTTTAAATGACAAAATGACAAATGGTGAATCTGTACCAAATTATTCAATTTTCAATGCAAGACACACAAATATAAATCAAAGTGGTCTCTAGTTTTCTGCTCTCTAGAAAACTCTAGTTTTCTGCTTTTCTTGCAACAAAAGACCTGTCTCAAGTATCTGTGGGACACCAATTCCAATACAAACACACCATGGTTAATGCGTGGTTTGAAATCCATCATGGACATCTGAGACAAGAGCATATCCCTCATTTATTTTTTTACTTTTTGTACCAGTTTGCTAAAAGCCCTCCCAACATTTTCTATAATGTTATCTTTATTTTCTTTCTCAATTGAAAGGAGCATTCTGAGAACACTATTTTTTTTCCTTGAGCTTCCAACTACATCACAGGTAGGATGCAGAGGGACGTGTTGGGGTGTTTCAGTTTTGCTGATCTTTGCTAGGCAATTTTTGTGGAAATTGATAAACAATGTGGATGTTACAAGTAAGAGCAACTGCAGGGAGCTGGGAAAGGAATATGTGGGTAGGGACTGACTTAAGCTACCACTTGGTATCTCCAAAATGCATAGAGATCAGGGGATTATTTATGGAACTATTTAAAGGAACATAGGGACATTTTGAACATACGCCACCAATGTGTGCTCAGCAGATGACCCTGGGTCACAGTGACATGTTAACATCAGAGTAATAAGGAATATTAGGGAGGAACTGTTAAGGAGGACTGTTCTGCTTAAGCATAACTGGCGCTTTTCATGGTGAGATTAGCTTGAACAACTTTCTTGAAACTCTCTGTTGATACTCAATATTCTCCAAAACAGGGCAATGGCTGTTCTGAGATTGGTTTCTCAAACTGAATATCCTGCATGACTTCTCCCAGCAAAGCTCCCCCTCAGTGACTCAGAGTGCTGGCTAGTGCAATACTCGGCTCATGGCAAGTAAAATACCACTCCCTTTTTGTGACTGAGTCCTTTCAGGCTCCCCTTAGTGCATCTCCTGGCAATGATTAGGAGCATCTACTTATTTTTTTAAAGGCTACTCCCCCTCCCATACGCTCCAGTCCTGTGAAGTCCTTAAGGAAACATACCAAGATCTGAAAAGCTATTGTTTGGTATTTCAAATCCTGGTCCCTTTATGTCCAGCTGGTGGGAAAAGAGGAGAGAGACAGAAACAAAATAGGAAGGCGGCAGCAGGGAAGAGGGGGGTAGGGGAAGTTAGAAGTTTAGTGCAAAATGGATAGACCTAGGGATAAGCGGATCTGAAGGACAGAGAAAAGTGGGACAAAAGTAGAGCAAGATATGCTTAGTCCTGGTCCTGCTGGATGTCTCACAAGGGACTTTATGCAACTGGGGGAAGTTTTCTCCTATGAAATAGCCTGTAGGGAGAAGTAATTAAAAGTACAGGCACCTCAATAAACAAGGCGAAGATTAAAAAAAAAAAATCAAGCAGAATACCAGCAAGAAAGAGAATGAAAAAATATATAAGAAGTATCTGGCATTTAAAAGCAGGATTAAAAAAACCCAACCAAACAAAAAGCAAGTATTCTGTAAGTGGCTTCCTGCCAAGGACAGACGATTTTATCTCTGTGTGCCGCGGTTCTTCCCACTGCAGAATGGAGCCATGGGTGCTCTTCCAATTTTTCAGAAATATTTGAAGTCTAGGAGCTGTTTGGATAGCTGTTAACAGTGGATAATGTGGAGTGAAGGAGGCTTGCTTCAGAGATGGGGTCTTCTTGGGAATATCAAAAAAAAGAGAACTTCATAACAGCCACCGATATGTAATAGTGCTACTGAGACTTTATGGGTGAAAACAAAGATATATTTAACGAAGATAAAGAAAGCATTAACAACACACATTAATAAGATTCAGCAATATCAGCATGCAAAGAGTTGACATGTTGTAACTTTAGTATTTCCCTCCCTATAGTTAAAGATTTACTTTTTACTGTCTGAAATTTAATATATACTTTTCTTTTGGTTGGACTTTACCCATCTCCAAGCTGCAGGTCATCAGATTTTCTTACTGTCTATGATGGAAAAATCTTCAGAATAAAGCCTTATCTTTGATTGGCTGTTCCAAACACATAGAATATTTACAGAGTCTTATATCCAGCAGTAAATGCAGTTATCATCTGTATTTGATAATCTGATGTTGTGCTTCTGATAGTTGTGTATAGATGTTCATGGGAAGCTCTGTATGGAATTGTTTGGCACATATTTAGGTTCTTTTCTTGGCTGAAATGAGTTTGTGAAATGTCCTGCACTAGTAACAGCTGAAAATTATAATAATCTCTTTCATCTTTGACATCACTGAAAAACACATGGTTATTCTCTATTGCAAAACCCTGATGGTCTTTGTCAGTTGCTTGAAAATTTGGCTATGGTGGTATCTTCCTTACCAATCCCTTTACTGTCTGATTTGATCTCTGTCTCATGTATAGTCACATTGTGCAAACTATTGGATGAAACTATTTTTGTTCAGCACCACTATGCCTTAAACTTCACTTGAGTCACGACAAGGTTTGGTCCATGCTCAGAAAAACAATGTCAGTAGAAGTCTGGATGAGCTTCAGTTCTCTCGTATTTCAAACAGTATGTAGCTGCAACAAAGACAATGGGTTTTGACCTAAGGATTGTATTTTCAATGTTTAGGAATCTCAAAAAAATATGATAGGTAAGAAGTATAAAAGCATAAGGTTACAGTTGCATTTGTATGTGAGCAGCAAGGTACTGAAATACCCTTTTTGGTTTTTTAGGAGTGCAGACCTCTTTCTCCGTCTCACAGATAAGTGTGTGCAGAACACTCAGCCATAATTAAGGACGGAATCTCTTTTGAATTCCACTCTTCTGGCTGCACAGGGAGACCTGCTGGTAGTTTTGTTTAATGAGGATAGCCCCACAGAGTGTCTGTCTTTAAAATTCTGTGATTAAGAAATAAAGAATGTGAAAAGCTATGAATAGGAAGCTAACATTTTTCTTACGCCACTCACTGATTTACAAACCAAGTGTGGACTACTTGTCATCTGGAGCTGGCTTATGAAACTATTTCACCAGTACGATGTTTTGAATTAAGAACTTGATGACAAGGGCTCCTGATGGTCTGCCGGCTGGCAGTGTTTGGTGGCTGCCTGGATTCAGCATCATTGGTTTGACATCGATTTTTACATATCACTTATGGTGAGAAACACCCAAGTGCCTTCTGATGCCTTAAGTGTGGCTATACAGTCGCAACATGTGGCTCATTCTTTCTCCCATTCTTGTTTTCCAGTGCTCCATCTTAAGTATGCCTGAATACAGGATGCCTCACATTTCTAATGGAAAAAGGTAAGGATGAGGTTCTTTTCTCTGAAAGCATAAGGAGCTGTTGGAATTGAAAGCAGTACTTCTTTCTACAGGCTGACAACACAGCTACCAGGTGCTTTCAAGTATCACTACTGCTATAATGGAGGAATTTGGTCATGCTCCATAAGCTATGCTGTAAAGGGGTTGAGCAAACCTGATTTTATGAAGACTGAGTTCCCTCCACAGGTTTTAGTTCTGGCTTTGTGATCCTTGTGATCATTGTAAAGGTATGGCTTACACCCAAACCAGGAATGAAAAGACTGCCAAGATGCACAATATAAGATAATATTTTCAGGTTTGATTGAGACTGTAACATCTATCCTTATATTGTGGTGATAGGGATTGCTATAATATTGCTGTCAGTAAAGTACCTGCAACCCCGCGGCCAGAAGCTTTAGGGACGAAAAGCTATTGACTCTCTATTGAAAAGAGTAAAGCACTGTCAGGCAAAACTTCATCTGCAAAAGAGAAATTTAAGAGGTAGCTTAGCAGAGTTGTATTTGCACTTTGGGAGTTTAATGAGTGTTATATTGTAGCAAAGACTTGATGTCCATAGTTCAAGACTTTCTGTGCAAGGTTGCTGCAGGAGGCCCCATCTCTGGGGTCTTGCAATGGATTGAATGCCAGTGTGGGTGATGATAGGGAGGAGCTTGCAGTGAGAGGTGGCACAGCAGTACCTTCATTCCCTCTTCTAGTCCTCAAGGAGACAGGGACACTGAGTTAAGTAGTGATGCTCCCACAGTAGTCTAAGCAAGCTGGATCCCCAACAACAACAGGCAGACCTGCCAGGAGAAATCTGGGCTACTGCCCTGCATTGATGTGGTCTGTGAAACGTGGTGGACCTGGTACGTCTATGGGATAGTCTCCACTTCTAAGAAAGAGGGAGCTAAAGAGAGATCTCTACCAAGGACATTAGAAAGATGTCAGAGGAGTGGGTCTCTGTTTACCTTATCCACTGTATTTCACTAAGCCTTTTTTTTTTCTGGCCTAAGTTCATGATTGCATTCTCCATCCTGTTCTAAAGACTTTGTTTCTACAGTCTTGGTGTACTTGAATGAGAGAAATAATGTGGGGAACAGTCCTAGGAGAGGAACACTGATCTTCTGCATGTTTCTGTATTCATCTTGAACCAATCCTGGTATTTATCACAAGACAACCCCAGAGATGCTAACACCTAAAAGACACATGGGACTCAGAGGGTGGCCAGCCGCAGAGTGGTGGCAGTGCAGCTGGGGTGTGCTTAGGAAGTCTTTGTTGTTCTGAGGCTGCTCAGTGCAGTGTGTTCCCAGTGCAGATTCCCAGGGCTTATCTCAGGGACTGGTGATGCTGGCCTCAGGACAGCCTTCTGCCCTTCTACATCATTGTCTTCTGTTGGGGTGAAACTTCACAAAATAACCAAAGATCAGAAGTGGAAAGAGGCAGCATTACAGAAAAGACACTGATTCTCTTACTTCCTCTCCCTTCCTGCCCCCTCAGCAACTCATACAGGACCTGCTGACTGCTTTCTGCTGCCTCCGTGGAGTGAGAGTGCTCTCTGTGCCACAGTAAACTTTTTCTCTGTTAAATCAACCCTGGAGGCTTAAAATACACTTCTAAAGCCCCTATTGCCTCACTGGTGCAATGTCCTGTATCCCTGGTGCTGATCACATTCTGTTGATTTTACTTGCCACTTTTCAGCTATCTTTACAGCATTTTTCTGAAGTCCTCTGGCACTGTTGCCTCCCTATCAGAACTGAGAAAATAGATTTAAAAGCTAATATTAATCCCTGTTTGAACTGATGAGTTTTTGTAGTACTTTCAAGAATGGGAGAAACTAGTCAAATGGGCAGGAAGCTCATGGGATACAAACATGCATTATTTCTATAAGCACTGGATTTTTTCCATCAAAGTATAGGAGAAGATGTTGGGAGGGTTTGTCTGGAATGTAAAAATACTTCCCCAGTGATGGCAAGGTGCTAAAGTGGAATTTCTTTAAACCTACATGGAAGATATATAGAAGATTATACACACACATCTATATTTTCTCATATATTTATTTTTTAATTTTTTAACTTAACTATTTTCTGATAAAGAAAAGGAAAACCTCATTTTCTGCTAGGAAAAACTGACAGCTAGTAGAAAAATTATCCTTCCCATTCTTCAGTGTATAATGAGATGTAACTATGTTTCTTCACCACCTTTAAGCTTACAAAAACTTCCTTTTTTCTATAATCATGTGGGAAAACACTGCTGGCTCTGTATCTAATAACTACAGAAGTGAATGTGGTATTTCACTGTCCTCTTCCTTGTGCGTTCTTGTATCTACTGTAATGATCTATTCTTTGAAGTTCAAGGTGTCATACATTCAAAATAAATGCTGGAGGTATAGCCATAGGTCTGCATGTGCCATTCATGGCATTAACTGTAATCTATGCCCTGTTTTCTCCAGGGAATGTTTGACCTGACACTGCACTGAATTTATGAGAGTGAAATCCCTTCACAAAGGCAAGTGCTGAAAATTTATTACATCTGTTTTACCTTGAGGGAAAATTATGTGGTCTACAAAAATCTAAAAAATGAAATTAAAACACACAGCATCCTGGAAGCAGGTTACGTCTGCTGTACTTTGAGTGTTATCTTAACAAACTTCAAACTACAATCTTAACAGGTTGCAAACTGCACTGCACCATGACTGGCCAAAATATAACCCTCATGCATTCTGCCCCATCTGAGGGCTATGAAGACAAGAAAAGCTTGTTCTGTTCTCTGTGGATGGTACACTGCAAGACCTAGTAACCTGGTCCGTCACACCTTGTCTATGGGCAAGTCCAACGTCCAGCCCAATCCAACTTAATTGCTTGGCTAAAGAACAAATTACAGTTCTGCATGTTGCATGTTGCCATCATTATAATTCCTGCTATTGGTGTAGCTTTGCTTTCATGGTTACTACTGAGACAGCTAGAAGAGGAAAAAAAGATGTATAGGAGGGTGCAGTTGCAAACCCCTGCACAACCTAAAGAGCAGCTGAACAGCTTTATTTTGCCTCTCTGGAAAACAGGCAGAGCTGGAAGACAGGCAGGGTCAGTGAGGATGACACTACTTGCTTCAGTAAACAGCAGCATTACCCTGCATCTCAGATAACTGATCTACTTTTTTCTTCACCTGTGCCTGTGAACACCCCACCATGCTGTATGGCACAATAACATTTTCAGAACATGCTAAGTTTTGAACTGCCTTCCGGTGTTTGAAGGCTGCCATGCAGTGAGCCTGCAGAACAGCTGAGTCTAAGGGATGTTGCCTTATTTGAACTAGAATTATTTGTGCTAATGCTGCATTTATGTTAGGCAGCATATTCTTCTGCTCCCAATTTCTCACTCATCACTACCTGTCCTGAGTTCAGCAGTAGCAGTCATTTTTCTCCTTCTTAGTAGCTGGTGCAGTGTTGTCTTTTGACTTTTGGCCTGGGAACAGAGCTGGTAACAATGATGTTTTAGTCTGACCAAGGACTTTCTGAGCCTCATGATCTGTCAGGGAGGAGGGGAAGCCAGGAGGAAGCAGAGACAGGACACCTGACCCAAACTGACCAAAGAGGTATTCCATACCACAGCACGTCATGCCCAGGATGTAACTGGGAGTTACCCAGAAGGGCTGGGACTGCAGGGCTGGAGGAGGTATTGGTCGGTGCTTAGTTGGGTTTGGGGGGAACAAGTTATCGGTCGGCGGGTGGTGAGATGTTGTATTCTCTTCCCTTGTTATTTCCTTTATCATTATTATTGTTGGTGGTAGCAGTAGTGATTTGTGTTATACCTTAGTTACTGGACTGTTCTTATCTCAACCCATGGGAGTTGCATTCTTTTCGATTCTCCTCTCCGTCCCTCCGGGAGTAGGGGGAGAGAAAGAACGGGGTGGGGGGGAGTGAGTGAACGAGTTACCTGACTGGGTTTAAACCACGACACTACCAAATACAGAGGCTCAGAGAACATCCATCTTGTGGGAATGGGAACATCAAAGATGGGTTAGCTGAGCCAGAGCCAGGTGTGAAATGTTATAGTTACAGAGACCCTGAGTGCAGAGACCTTGACCTGTGGAAGTTGACAGGTCCATAACCAGTGCCTGTATGGTCATACAGCACCAGTAAGACACATTTGAAAACAGTTATTTTCAGTTCCATGCAATTCTTTAAGCTACTGCTTCCACATCTATCCAGAGAAGGTTGCATGGGATTGCACTACTGTTTTGAGAGCACACCATGGTGGGTGCGCCACTGCACTGGGTTTTGTGTGTTGTGTCTCTGCCACCCGGCAGAGATGTTCCTCAGACCTCACAAGGAGGCTGGTGGCACAGGAACACAAAGGAACAGAAATCAAAGTCAGGCAGCCTGACAAAACGTCAGTTACAGCAATTTTGCTGAAAATACCTCAGGGATCATGCAGCCAGCTGATCGCAACCAGCGGAGGATGTGACTCTGTATTTAAATCTATTTTGGTAATACATATTCTAAGTAAGATCAGTAGCAATGTGATGGTAGGTTAAAATATAGGTATTTGTTCATACATATTTTATTTCATCCACATCTCCTTATAGGTAGTTTTATACTTGGCTTTGAAGCATTGGCCCTGTTACCTGCTTTTTATTGTGTCCGCAAAAATAAAGACATCTGCTTGTAAGGTAGCTGCATAGGACTCTGATGCAGAGGCTGATGGAAGCCAAAAGAACCTGAATTCTGCATTCCCACTAGCAAAATTCTCTGAGTGCCTGCAGTTCTTTATGTCTCTGGGTGTGGAGAGTGTGTGAGACCTTGCTACCTGGTACACCCTGCAGGGCTGGTCCTGGTGGGCGATTCCCACAGCAGACACACACAGTGGTCTGCACCTCACACACCCAGCCTTCCTGAAAATGTGGTGATGGGTCAGGAGCAGGGGAACAGTTGCTCAGAGGTGGCTTCAAAAGATACTATATCAAAGGACTAAGAAGAAGAAAACAATTATGGGCAGCTGTTACTCAGGGGAAGTCTGAATAAGAGACAGTATGCTTGCTGCATAAAAAAGCTTTTCCTGTGACACCACTCTCACACCCTTCCCTGGCAGAAGTATCACTCTTTTCTCTCCCTTTGTATCAGCTCTCAGCGGCCTCACCCCATCCACTGCTGTGCCTGAGCTGCTTCTCATGGCAGCCAAACAGTGAGTTTAGTTTCTGTAGCCAAAGCCCACGGTGGGGGTGAAATAGAGCTGGCTGTCTGATCTCTGTGGCTATCTGAGCGGAGGCATTGCAGCAGCAGGATTAACACTGTCCTCCCCCTAGCTGAGCACAGCTCTCTGCTCCTAACCTCCTCCGTCTGTGGCACTGCGGTGACAGAGGAGACTGCCCAAGTGGGCACCAGGGAGTCCCCTACTGCCAAAACGGCTCCCTGAACATCCAGCTGCTGTTGCGAATCATTCACAAATCGCTCCTTGGTAATACAGGTTTTAGTCTTATTATAGGTGCGATATGAAATACTGGGATAGATTAGGAAAACCTGCCCCACAGCAGCCAGTAGCCACAGTGTTTGAGACACAGAGGCTTTGACAAATCCATGTTGAATGTACTCCTTTCCTCATTATCTTTCAGTGACTTATGAAGAGTTTATTTAATTCTTCAATCTAGTATTTTTCCCACATTAAAGATAACATGACTGCCCTACAATCCCGTAACTTCTCCTTTTCCTGAAGATACAAGCGCAATTCAGGTTACATGATGTGAGCACTAGATGTCCAATTTAAAATAGTTATCAAGGTTCCCTCTGTAATTATGTGAGAGATGGGTGCCACAAGAGAGTCATTTTAGGAACCATTTTAGGATGAGAAAATTGCTTTCTAAAGAAGACACTTGTCTCCAATGACTCTGCAATGGGGGTTATTAATAATGAATGACTTTCAGATGATCTGTACTGGGTGGAATGAATGTCCATTCCGCACTTGTCTGCCTGAGTCCTGTGAACCTCCAAGGTAGTTTCAGCTTGTTCTTAAACACCCTAAGATAGAATTAATCAGGAAGCTGATCTGGAAAACAACTTGACAAACAACTGTCCTAAATATTCTCTATCTATCTTCCTCTTAGCCTGAGAGCTGAGTTGTGGTGTAGGCTGTGTTGTGTGACTGCATGCAAACTTTGTCTTGAAGAATGGTGTATGCAAAGATTTAATATTTTGCTTTTGCCTGTGTGTTCAGGTGGTGCCATTCCTTCTACACTGCATGGTGGTCAAGCTCTTTCCCCATCCTCTTACTACTAATGTAATCAAAATATGTTTCTTTGTTGCCTTTTATGTCTACTGGTATGTATATGCTGTAGAATTATAATTTCAGCCATGTAGAGATCTATTTTGAATGATTACTTCATAGCTGCCTTGTAAATTCTAACATGTTGAATGTTTAAAGAACACAGACTGGGATTAATTCAGATCATAGACTAATCTACTGCAAATGTCCTTTTAAAAAGTCTTTTGTATCACTCCTCAAAGAGGGCATCAAGCAATAGAAGAAAACCAAACAGAGAATATTGAGAAGAAATGAGGTTCTTCTTAACTCTAAATGGTGTTAATTATTTTTATTTTTTTTTCATATTTCTAGACTGACACTGTTTGCACATATGTTCCAGAACAAATTTGTGTGGTGATCATGCAATCGGGTTGTTTTCAGCTGAAGATCTAAGACATAGGGTTTTTTTAACTGTAATATGGTGGTAGTCATAAAAGTGAATTTAAAGAAACAGCATGAATGTTCTAGCACAGGATCTACTGTAAATATAAGTAAGCAGTATAAAGGTGGTTGACATCATTATATCCTGGCCATGGAGGAAAGAGGTATACTGCCAAAACTACTTTTCTAGTGAATGCATCTGTATCTGGAGGCTTTACTATACAACAGTTGAAGCATTGCAGCCTGTGTGTGTGAGAAGGGTGGCATATACCCTTAGCCCTTTCAGTGCCCCTTGCATTCCCATGAACCTCTCACATGCATTGGGCTGTGTTTCTGTACAGCTGCTACACATGTTGCTGAAAGCAGATGAGACAGATACTATGTGTAAGGCAAAGCGCATATCATGCTATCAATTTTTAAACACCATTGAAGAAGTGATGGCTCAAAGTGGTTTTTAGAAATAAATGGAAAGGATTAAGCATCCTAAGTGGGAGGTAACAGCAACAGCAAGAAAGCAGTGACAAAACTTTGTATGACAGTTCCCAAATTGCTAGGCAGCCTTTTCCCTAGGTCCACGACAGCCAGACTGTGACACTCTTGTAAGCTAAGCGTGGCTTTGCGACAGGACACCTTGCAGGAAGACTAAGTGCTGTACAAAGGATAACACTTTCCCCGTAGTTTGTTAAGGAAAGAGGTCAATCTTCCCCAGGAGTAAGGAATGAATCAATGTCCCGGCATGAAGCTAAGGGTTTCAGACCTCCATGCTCATTGTCAGAGCTCCAATAGGGCTTTTTGTAACAGTTAGTGTCTCCTCTAAATTTCAAGCTGTGGAATTATGTTCTCGTCTGTTTTCCTACAGTGGTTTTATTTGGGCATGATATACTCATTGTCTGTAGCTGTTGCAGTGTCCCTGTTTGTTCTCATGGCTCACAAAATGTTCCACCTTAGAAGCAGCCGCCTTTCAGGGATAAATAATACCAGCATATGCAGCACATAAAATCCTTCAAGATTCCACACAATGAAACGTCCTATATTTTGAATAATTGTCTTCTTGTTCTTTTAGGCCTCAAACAGGAAATATTTAAGCACATTTTCAATTAAGTTGCATTGAAGTTAGTGTAATTGAAGTCCATATTTTTAGCATGTGTTTCTAATTAAATGCATCCATAAATGCTTTCCTGATCAGAGGTCTTCAAGCCTGTGAAAGCACAGAAGCTGAAGTATTCATTTTTGGCTGCTCTGGGTGCTGAACTGGGAACTGCAGTTGTACTTACAGAGTCCCAGCCTCAAGGCTATGGTTTGCTTAAAGTAGTACTGCAAGGTATGGTGCTTATGCGTTACACAGAAAACAAACACATACATAAAGCGTATAACTAAAGAAGCACTGAAACTGAAGATCACACACAAAAAAATTAATCCTCCTGACATGCTGGTTTGAAAGGACACACAACAGAGATAGAGAGCCTGCTATAAGCCATTCCTAGTTTCCTCTGGCTGGAAAAAGAGAATAAAATTACACAGTAAAACACTGATTTGGGGTGAGCAATGGTAATCATGCTTTTTTAGCATAAAACACAGTTGCTTTAAGCTGACTGTTCTGCACAAACAGGTGCTCACATGTTTCAGTTGTCCGTTCACTGGAGCATTGGGACTCTATAATAGTCCTGCTGCATGAAGGAGATATTTGAACTTTTGCAGCTTGAGATTACCAAAAGGAAAAGGACTCAATCCATCAAGATGTATACTAAAAAGTACCTGGCTGGTAGGATACAAATGTCTGTAAGTGCAAGCTGAATGCCTTTATGATAAAAATTAATTACTTTTTATTATTTTCTGTATTATGTCAAGTAAGGAATATGACACATTTTTAGCCCTTCTTCCTACATTTGCAGTTAGAAACACAAATGAACAGATTTACTTCATCATCTATAGGTAATGACAGCAGCAATTCTTTTTCAAAGAGAAAGGCAGGGTCTGGTTGTGATTTTGTGAAAATAACCTGACAGTCATTTTCTGGCTTCTTTTACCGTGCTCATCATTTCACTTTTTGAATAGCTCATCAACTTGTAAAAGACCAAGAACAGAAGATTTCTGCATGTTCCTCCAGCTCCCTTTTTTGAAAGAAATTTTCTTGTGTGTTTTTAATTCTGAGCTCTAAGTGGATGGAGGATTAATGGTACCCTGTGTTTCTACTTTTCATTTCAAAGGCTGTGGATGTTGATATCTGAGTCTTCCTGCTGTCTTTGATGAGCATGTTCTGCAGCTGAAGGCTGGCTGCTGAGGCAGGGAACCAGGCTTTGACTCGTGGATCTTGACAGCTCCATTGTCCCCAGGAATGAACCTGTCACAGGAAGCCATTGCCCTTTAGGCTTGGCCCACAGGTAACTTTGATAGGTCTTACAGAGGATTTTGACACAGAGGACAAAATCTTCAACTTCTGTTGAAGGATGTGCCTATAAAGCATCAAAGAACAGACTGCAAAATGTGATAATGCACTAAAGAGGACATTCAGCTAAATGTTTGCACAATGATTGAGAAAAATCAAACAATAGTTCAGTGATTTCAGTACAACAAAATCAAATATGATGTTCATCACTTTCAGTACTGGCGTATGAGTGCACTGCAGGATCCCAACACAGTTTGGCTTCTGATCATCTAAAGAATACCACGCTATCCTCACGTGTAACCACCCCTTGTGCTTCTTGGGGTGGTAGCAGCCTTAGCTTATGTATCTACTCTAGTTCCAGACAGACTGCTGCTGGAGCTCTGACTTGTCCCTCTTCATGTTTACCCAGAACAGGGCTGAGATAACAAACACTCCTTTAGTGGCACTTGACACTTCCTCGTGCCACCCTTTAGCACCCTTCAACTTCCATTCTTAACTCCCTAGAGACTGTTTCTGTCATTTTAATCTCTCATTTTCTTGATCCTTGACAAGCAGAGATAGCATTGCTCATTTTTGCCCTCTCCCTACTCCCTTACAAGCTTGTGACATTAGTCACAAGTCTGTGAGTCCCAAATTATCTACTGAAAAGTTGCATAAATGTACTTCATATGGTTTTACCCTTCTATTTTAATGTAACTCTTACAATAAATTTCATAGCCCCATCATGTGTTTTGTTGCTCAGGAGGTAACATCAGAGCCAAGAGGGATCCTAGTGTAGGTCATGCCCTCAGAAACGGGTGCTGTCCCACACGTCTGATCATGGTGGGCAGATGTGAGAGCAGTAACAGCATCCATCAACAGACCCTGACATGGCAAGTGTCAAACCAGGGCCAGAGACCATCCCAGGTGCTTCTGTCAGAAGCAAGAGGAGATGAGGCAAGCAAACAGCATGGGTCCGAAGTCTATCCAGGGTTTGAGGTGGCACTGGAGACAAGCTGCAGTGTACATCCAAGACACAGTCTATCTATAGCATAGGTCCAGTCCATCCAAGAGATAGGGCTGGAAACCAGCATTGCTACAGTGCCTCTAGGGCAGGGACTGACTGAACTGAGCTAGGGTCCTGAGCTGTGGGCAGGGTAGGGGTAGCCCCAGAGGAGGCTCTCTGGAGACAGTAAGACCTGTGGGTGCCCTCAGCACCATGACAGGTAAGGGGATTGCTGACGCTACTGCCAATGACATTACCTGTGATTTTGTTTTACTTACTAGTGGGGTTTTCTAGGAAATAAGTTTCCCAACATACTGCTCTATGTTATGCATGTGTTTGTTCGTATTTGCATCTCTCAGTATCTTTCAAACTGGCTGGAAAGTCAAACAGAGTTGGTAGGGATCACCAAGGTAGTAATGATATTCCTGCAAGTTTCATGAAATCAGAAACGCCTATTGTATCACCCCAGCTGAGAGAAATGTTGAGGGAGCACAGTCCTAGTAGACACCTGAGAATCCACTGGAGACAGAGCTTTCCAAGGAAGAAACTTTACTCCTTTCTGGACACCAGCTTTGAAACACAAGTCTGTGGGAAACCACGTGCCCTTTGAGCTGGCACCCAGAGTGACGCATTTGGCGGGCACTTCATTTTTCCCCCCCTGCACCTTGTTTGGCAGCATCTGACTGTGAGCAGCCGGCTAGTCTGGTCAGCAGCATTGTTCTAGCTTTTCCCTCAGACATAAAGGTACATTCATTAGTGTTTGCAGTTAGTACTTTTAGTACATTTACTTGTAAGGAAAGGAGTAAGTGGCAGCAATAGCAAGAGATTTTACTAAGCTATAAGGAAGAGCAAGCAATCTACACAGGTGCTGCGGGACTCCAAAGGAACAGATACAGACCTTCACATTCAAACTGATATTTGGCAATGAAAGCAGCCTTTACGCAGTGCAGTTCCTCTCCCGAGCTAGGCACAAAAATACTCTATCCTTTCATCACATATTAAAAAAAGAAATAAAATCCATAAGGCATCAGGGCTGTATATGAGAAAGACACACAAGAAGTAGCAGTGCCCCAGCGTACAGGAGGAGTGACAAAACAATGCTGCTCTCTTTTCTGTGGACTCCCATGAGGCTGGGTTTGTATCGTGGAGAAGAACAATCCATTCGGTGTCCAGCTGGAATCTCAAATAACCATCTCATTTTTCTTTTCCAGTAACAGGGCCAGTTTTGTGCAAAGAAGTAGGCATGGAGGTCTAGAGGTGGCAGAACTGTTAAACTCATGTCTAAGTTCAGTTGCAGCTGGCAAAAAATTAGAATGAATCTGCTTGAAGTAGGGGAATACTTGAATACAGAAGTTGTAGCCTGAAGATGTTTCCAGGGACAACTTTGTACCTCCTTCCCACTGGTATCATTACATTTTGTTGAACATCTCTCATAGTGGACAAACATGAGGTTTGAAGAATGCAGGAAAATATTCTGCAAGTGTTCCCAAAAAGCCTGTGACTGATGTGGTATGGTTTGGCTTGTCCTCAAAATGAGATTTTATGCACTCTACCATCAGCTTACAATTGAGATGATTTGTGCCTGTGAGGACATCTTCTCTATAGTTTTTAATACCTTATAATAAACTAAAAAATCATTGCTAGCCCTAGTGCAGTGCCCTTCTCTATTCCTTGTCACTCAACTGCTGAGCTTTGGAAAGCCTGCCAAGTCCTTGGCAGAAGCTTCTTCTCGTCTGAGCAGAACTGCAGGATTTGATCCAGGAGAAGAGAGGGTTTTCATATTTTATTCTGATGTCAGCAACAGAAACCTTCAAAGCAGAGGAATACTCCCCAGCTGTGAGCTGGGTTGCTCAGGAGGTACCACTCCTGTCCCTTTGTCAAGCTGATCAGGGTACAAAAGAGCTCTTTTTCTAGGCTGGATGCACTGAAGAGGCGCCAGGGCATCCCACCCACAGTACTCATTAAAGAAAAATAACAACAGCACAAAGCCCAAGGATTGTTTTCGTATTCGTAGTATCTCAGCAACGGCTACTCTCTATCATCTGTTTTTGCTTTGGTGACTTCTTTTCTTATTAAGAAGAAATGCCACATGCTGCCACACAAGTAGCTGACCTCCTGCTGCCGGTCAGAGGCTGCTTGTTATGTCCAGGTGGGATGGACTATGGGCTCTGCTGTGCTCCCTAGCTGTTGGACCTGGCTTAGAAGGAAGTGGCACAGACCAGGACTTTGCGATTGTTCTGTTTTCTCCAATAAATCAATTGTTCACCCAAAGAAGTTCAGACTTTTGACACTGGGTCAAGCAGGACAGCTAATATTGGCTGATGCAAAAACTAACAAACAAATAAAGTTCTGGAAATTCCTGACTGTTTCATTTCGACATTTTCAGAAGGAAACATTGAATTTTGGAAAGCTTGATTCATGAGGTGATTTAGTGGCTTTCACAATGCAGAGAAGAAGGAGATGGTTGCACATCCCTTCCCTGCAACTCATTCTTGTATTCTGGCGTCTACAGCACTTGCCTGAATGGGTAATTAATTACTTTAATTACTTTCTATAAATTGTGATGAAGCTTCAGTTAGAAATATTGGGAGAGCCCCATTCCAGACCACCCTTTCTGAGTGTTGAGACAAGCTCTTGGAAAGCAAAAGACCCAAATTTAAGTGTGTTGTTCTCTGCTGTAGTGACACAAGGAGGAATGTTGAATTTGTGTCCCCTTTGAAAATACTGCAACAAATGAACCTTCTTTAAGAATGCAGGCTGAGGGTACAATATTCTCAAGGTTTTTCCAGTCACCTCTTGGTAAATTCAGCCTTTAATTTCCAAATTTCTTCAATTAAAGTTTTCCAAAATCAGATCATGATTCAGAAAAAAAAAAAAATTAAAATAGTTCTGAGTAAAACACTGAATTTGAATAATATTTTAGGAAACTGTAGTGCAAATTAGCAGAGACAAGGGCTAGCACTTTTATGAAGAGTTAGCTAATTAGACAGCGGGATCTCTGAGATGGGAATCATGTTACTGCATTTATGTCTGTGACAGATGACACATCACTGGTGTAGAACTTTGTGTGAGTATCAGGCAACTCTTTTGCAGTCAAATAGTTGTAAAAATTTAATGAGTTGTGAAATAGATTTCTGGCCTATGGACCAATCAGTATTTCTGTCTGTAGTGAAGAGTCTGACAAACTCTGATGAAGGAAACCTAAGGCATCAGAAATATGCAGGAGAGTACTACCTCATAGCAGGTAGTTATCCAGACAAGATGGCAGTGTAGAGTGATAAAGCTGAGCTTGCTAGCAGCTGTTGGTAAAAGATAAAAAGGGAAAGTCATATGTGGACATCGATCTATCTGCTTATTTTTTGGGACTACCATACAGGCTGTCAGTGACATTGGTGGCAATGGTGGTCCCTGTGGCAGGCACTGCATAAACATAGGGAGAGAGGCACTCCTGGGCCTTCAAACCCACAGATACCAGGTGGGGAAACAGAAGAAATCATCCTATTAATGTAAGATTTCTTCTCTCATCCAGCATTTCAGATAGTCTCTATCTATGCAGGGACTGAGCCTAAACCACCTGAACATCAGCGCTCTGACCATATGGCCATGTGTCAGGAAGACTCACAGGAACATCGGTGCAGCAAGACTGACTGAATTGAGTCCCAGTCACTCCATCGTCAATTTCTGTCCCAGCCACCAGGGCAGAGGGGATTACTTTTTTTCCCTCCCCCACTCCACCACACAGCTTGCTTACAGGCTCCTTTGTCCTTTGTATTTGCTCCCTTTGGTTAAGGGACTGCCCTGATCCAGCCGGCGGGAGAAGCTCTGCGTGTACTGGCTTAATTGAAGATGGTGGGGAGCGCAGCAGGAATTGTTCCTGAGTACTGGAAACAATACTTATAAAATCACTTCATAGTATTTGTAATACAACTTGTGGGAATACAAACAGCTTTAAAGACCAATGTCTACTCAGAAATCACTCTGAACAAAGCTTATGCTTTTCCTCTTTGCAGTCTACCTGTATTTCTAATCCTATAGCAAAGGGGAGTTTCAAGAGGAAGGGAAGATGACAGTGCTTTCTGTATGGAGATACATGAGTCCTGAAACAAAAAGAGAGAGCATGAATTTATGTTATAATTTTGTAATGGTTGAGAACACTGGGGCTCAATTTTTGATCATCAGCTCTAAAGATCATTTTAATGAGCATCATGGCTGAAAATAATTTAGCAATGCACATAATGCCCTGGCTACTGATTTTCTCATGCAATATAGATATGCAAGCTAAACCACAATCTCAGGTGGCCTCTGGGGCTGAAAATCCTCAGGCTACCCATGCCCTCCCTAACACACTAGGAGGCTGGAAATGATGCTGAACATTCCCCACTTTCCTGCATTTTCCAAGCAAACTTGGAAAAAACCCAGAACAAAAACGTTTGGTGCCCTTGCAGCCCTAAGTGCCAAACTTGTCTTTTTGAAATGCTATGTCAACAGCTCTTCACTAGCAGGGCCATTATTTTTATTGGCTGTGGCTCTCTGGCTAGTGTTGACAGGTTAATTTACAGTAACAGTGAGAGTCACCTTTACTCTCTATACCAGAAAACACAGCCCGCTTCGTACTTGAATGCCACACTCTTGAGAGCAAGAATGTTGGAGAGCAAGCATTAGCGCTGCCTTGCAGCCTCACAAAGGCGTCTGGGGACTCGCACAGAAGAATGCTCTTTTGGTGAAATAATTTTTGCCAGCATATGATGTGACTTGAGCAGGAATGGTTGCAATTATTTCTTACCGTGCTTATTAGAGAGGACATATGGGAAGATTAGCCTCAAGAATGTCACTCTTGGACATGGTCTTCCCATGGTGACTGTGCCACAGGTTTTTTCTTTTCTTTTTTTCTTGTTTTCTTTTTCCCCCTTTTCAATATATCGAAATTCATTGTGAGAAATTTCCCTTGGTAATGTATATGGATACTGCTAAACAGATCCCAGGAAATGTTTTGTGGGGTGTACTTAAAGGACCCCTTCCCTCCCCTCCCTTCCCCTCCCCTCCCCTCCCTTCCCTTGCCTTCTCATTACACAGATGGTGAAGAAGCTATGAGAAAGCTGATGGAGAGCACATACATTGGAGTAGGACAAATTCAGAGCAGCTAAGAGAGAGGGATAAGTACTGCCAAGAAAATTATGACAGCCTGGGTGCGGATGAACAGACCTTACATCACAGGAAAACTGGAGAAAAAGAAAAACCCACAGTGGTTTGTTCGTTTTTTGTAATACGACTGTCGCATAAAACAAGTGAATAGTGTTTTAATCCTAGCAATATCAGATACCAAAACTTTAGGATTCTTGCAGCCTCCCAGAATTAATTGACCATGCACTGTTTACCAAGCACAACGATCAGATAGAAGGCTTTCTCTTCTTTCATCATTGGTGGACATTGCGCCACTGAACTGACAGCCCTTAGGCTCGCCTATTCTGTTTTGGCTGCATGGCCATTATAAATACAGAAGATGTGCCTCTCGTATTGTGATTATATTTGAATCTGGGATGGTTACACTCTGCTGAAGTGGTTCTATGAGTCTGCAGTATGCTTTTTTCATAGAATCATAGAATGGTCAGTGTTGGAAAGAACCTTAAGATCTTCCAGTTTCAACATCCCTGCAATGGGCAGGGATGCCTCACACTAGACCATGTCACCAGGCTTTACTCAATCCTGACATAACAAGTAAAAATGTCAAAACAATTAATGTATTTAGTCTGCAAATCATAGAATAGCTAGGGTTGGAAAGTACCTTAAGACCATCTAGTTCCAACCCCCATGCCATGGGCAGGGACACCTCACACTAAACCATGTCACCCAAGACTTCATCCAACCTGGCCTTCAACACTGCCAGGGATGGAGCATTCACAACTTCCTTGGGCAACCCATTCCAGTGCCTCACCACCCTCACGGTAAATACATGGTAAAAGATTTTTGAGAAGATTTTGGGATCTTTCTGCTGTAAAAATTTCACATCTTTGTGTTTAAAATTGCTCTGTCACCATTCTGTTCTCATCAGCCAGCTCTTTGAAAATCTTCATGGCACTTTTCCATCCTGCTGCCTCAGGATGTAGCTCAACATCTCAGAAATTGTCAGAAGTTCCCACCAGCTTGGAGAGTCACAGCAAATCAGAGAGAAAGCAGGTGGGAGGAAGTGTGAAATCATTCAGAGGTGGATTAGAATAGAAAAAGTGAATCTTGTTTTTTTTTCTGTTTTCACACACAGATTTCTGTGCACACACTGGCATATATGCAGAATCACAAAGGAGTGTCACTGAAACATATCACTTCTCAGTCACTGAAGCAATCATCTCTACAACACATTTGCTCAGAACACATGTATTTAGTTTGCAGAGAAAGGTTTGGTTTTGTGATTAAGATGCCAGGTAAGGCTTGAAGGAGCCATATTAAGCTGATATAACATTCCTCCTTTAATTTGTAGTGTATACCTGTCAGATAATTGAAGGATAAATATATTGATAGGGTAATATATTCAGCTATTAAAGCAATGATGATCAGGAGAAAACTATATGTAGCCGACTTCCTGTTCTTATTATCTGACATTTATACTGCTGTTTTCAAAAGATCTATTGAAATCAGGACTTCATTTTGGCTGGAGGTGAGAATAAATATGGGAAAAAAAGAACTTATTGAAATAAGCATTACAGAATTCAGCTACTTCCTTTTGCTGTGTTGGAAAAACAGGTAATCAGATTTCCTCCAGATCATTACCCTACAACTGGTAAGCCCTAAATAAATCGTATGGTAGCCTCTATCTGCAGTAGCTTTTAGCATCAACTGTAGCTTGCTGCTAGCTTGCCAGTTATACCTGAAAAATTAAAGAACAGCTCACAGAATTGCTTTTCTTTCCATGTTGAAGATAGCTCGTGCTTTTAAAGTTCAAAACATCACTGACTTCATAGAAGCACTGTGAGTGAGGTGGGATCTTCATAGTATCTTAGGATCTTTAGTGCCTCAGTTGTATTGAGGACAAATGGAACATTACTAATTGCAAGAGTTTCAAGAACCTTCTCCTTGAAAATCAGGATGCTTTTATATATTTTAACCTAG